CACATTTGAACTTTCTTGTAATCACTTCGATTGATATTAATTAAACGTTAATTAATCACCGAGAATATCATCCATTCATAAATTTACAATCTATGATTATACTATATAATAATTAATTTAAGTGATCGAAGATTGCCGATTGATGCTCAACAAATAGAAAATACATTTCGTTTCTTCGAAAAACGAAGAGATAGAAGAAATCCTCTTAGTCTTTATCAAAAATACAAAAGTTTGAATCGTTGTCGATATATTTCTCGCGCTTATTAAACGATAGTATAAAAAAGTTGCAATAGAAAATATATCTATTTATATATTTATATATAGAAAATATATCCACATATATATATATATATATATTTCTATATTTATATCATGATTTAGATTCATTGAATCATCTGTAAGTATCTATTCTCTTCGAGCAACGAGCTCAGAGACGAGGTCATATCGTTCACTACCATATTGGCGCTAGATGGCAATGGCTGCGGCAATGACATAGGATGAGTAGAACTGGAAACATTTGTCTCATGAGTCTGAGCGTTTCCAGACCAATTTCTGCATTGTTGCACGTATTCCAATGTCCTTCTGTACGAGTCCTGTCTCATTCCTTGAGGAGGCTTTATGGGAGATCCTTGTTGAGATTGACTGATGTCTCTACATTGGATTTCTGGCATAGCAGAACCGGTTTGCTCGTGATAACACTGATCGTAACCCCATTGACAGTTGCAATTATATTGATGATTCGGTGGATTAGTTCGAGCTTGACAATTATGCGTACAGGTATGCTGCTGCTGTTGCATCCTGCAATTGGTTTGTTGAGCAGAGCACAACTGTGGCGACGTTCTCTTGGACAGAGTGGTATTGTCTGTGATTGGTCGATGACCGCTGTTGGGATGAGCACAATTGGCCATTTGTAGACAGGGAGTAGTTGGTTGTTGAACCTGTTGTTGACAACCCTGAAGATTGGTCATGTTGGTAATTGGTTTGGCCTGATTGTTCATATTTAATTGAGAACAGTGCGGTGACATCTGAGCACATTGATTAGGCACTGTTGTCTGTTGGACAGGGTGTAAATTAGACATCTGACTATTAGGTGTTACTAATGGCCTGGTACATTGATTGGCAACTTGACCACACTGTGTATTAGGATGGCTCATAGTTGTCTGATTGGGTATAACTGGTTGTTGGCTACAATGCGAAGATAATTGCTGACAATTGCCAGTTGAACGCATCTGCACGCACTGTTGTTGGGTCATAGCGCTGTGATTGGGTGGTGGGGCACATGCGGAATTCGTATGATGGTTCACTTGGCCATTCGGATTTCCAGTACAGTTTGCGTTCATCTGTCCTTGGCAATTGTAATTAGGATAATAGCCATGATGCATATGGTTCTGAGGACAGTTCCTGGTTAATTGAGCAGAATTTTGTGGAAGATTTTGTGGAGGATGTTGAGGTGCTAGAGCACCAGCTGCTGGTGAAGTTAGAGGTTGGTCACTAATGTGACTGGGAGCGTAATGAGATCCTGGTGACATGACTTGACCTGCTGCTGGGCTAAGGACTTGTCCACCATTTGGTTGCGATGGATAAGTTGGTGGAGGACAATATTGAGAGTTAGATTGAGGAGGTCGAGAGCTAGGGCATTGATTATAAGGTGATGGCGAGGTATTTTGATAATTTGTGCAAGGTTGAGCAGATTGTGATGGTGGATAACAGGTTTGCTGATGAGATTGGTTGTAGTTGCATGTAGGCTGCATTTGACGTTGATAATGCAAAGGATTGGTGCAAATTGGTGATTGACAAATAGGTAGAGGACTGCGACAATTGACTTGAGTTCCGCCTGCTTGAACCTAAAGGAAAAGGAACAAATTAATAAATAAATTTTAATATCCATGAAAATCGATTGACATAATCTGAGAAAAAGTAAAAAAACATACTTGATTCAAATACTGCATCATTTCATCAGGAATTACCAATTTATTCTCCACCATTTCGCCTTCTCCAACTTCATCCAGAATAACCTCTTGATTAGGATGATGTTCTGGAAGTTGAGCTGATCTTGGCCTAGGTGGTACAGGCGGTGAATTCCTTTGAGTCTGATGACCCCTTGTAGGCTCTGACATACGACGATCACCGGATGGTTGCGTGCAATGACCACTTGGACCGTTCCAATCTCCTGGTATACCCTGGATTCCCTAAATTTATCAGATGTTCAATATTCCACGTTATTAACAGACACTATAATCAACAAAGAAAACGGAATATCTATCTACTAACTTGGAGAGACATATTCTGCGTTTGAACGACAAGATTGCTCGTAGAATAAGGTCCTTGAAGATTGGGTGGATTCATTCTACCAGAAGTGGTGCTCATCTGACTACTCCTTCTTGAAGTTCCAGGACTAATCGGATCATAGAAGCTGCCAGGTCCGGTTTGACCCATTCTAACAGCACTGACCCCGCTAGCTTGGCTGCTTCTTCTGCTACCGAAATCCGTGGACTTCATACTACCGTAATAAGTGCTCACTGTACTGTTGCTGTCCCTTCGTGGCTCGCTCAGTGGTTGTAACCTGAGTTGTAGATCGGATAAGCTCGTTTGACGAGCAGAACCACCACCCTCCATCTTCAGGTCAGTAATCCTCCTGTTCAAATCGCCAATGTTACCCTGAGGACCCATACCACGTGTCCCTCTCATACTGGACACGCTGACAGGCAGGTTTGGCATGCCTTTAGCGTTCAATCTCCCTTTCAAACGATTCCTTGAGGCGGGAGGAGGGGGTTGTTGCTGCTGTTGCGACTCCATTCCTCCAACCTATA